AACAAAACTCTAGTCTCAAGAAAAGCCTATTCCAGAGGGAATGGAAGTGCCTTTGTGTTCCTTGCCAGTACACAAAATCAATTCTATCTTAGGTCCAAGGGAACAAATCAACTGTCTAGTTATTTTAGGATTTTAAAAACATAAAATTTACAATTCTGAGAAATATTCTTCATAGTTTCCAATATATGGGGATATGGAACAAATAATAAAAGGAACTCAGCTATGGTCTGCTGACGAATTTAAAGATAGTTTTGCATTTATTTCCTGTTTTGTGTATGTCCATTTATTTAGAGTAGCTGCAGGATATCTGTATAATGTAGACTTTAGGCAACAATGATTAGTGAATTTGAGAATTAATTAAGTCAACAACAGATTTAGGATAATGTAGAGCCATGTTTTGAAAAGATGGTGAGAACTTTTCACATGTATGAAGGGTAAGTAGAAACACACTGTTGTGATACAGAATTTTGAATGTGTGTAGGGAGCAGAGATGGTGAAGGGCCACAATGTTGTACTCTTATCAGTGTCACTCAGCTCCAAAACTATCTTTGTCTGTCTTATTCTGTGTTGTAATGGCTCATAAGCAATTTTTCCTAGACAAAGGAAATCAGATTAGTAGGAGCAGAATTAAAATCTTCAGCAGAAAAGAAGCTGTCAGATGGCTACAAACTAGAAAGAAGCCCTTTCAGCTCAATTTTAGGAAAATTAAAAATGAGTACCTACATGACTTGCTGAGTTCTAAGCAAGTCGTGTTCACAGTTCTAAGTAAGTTCCTGCCAACTTCTAATCTTGTCTACAGTGGTTCAGAAGACAAAAGGAATTCCACATTAATATGACCCACATTTTAATCTTCCTAAAGCTTCTTTCACACACATAGAAGTATATGCCAGAAAAGGGGTCTTTGGATGCTTTTTGGAAAGAGACACAGGGGCCACAGTTTATGTTTTGCAATAAGGTCTGCCACATATTCTTCTGTGTTCATTTTCTTTTTAAAAATCCTTTAAAGAAATGAAAAATTATTCATAGCTCATAACTGTGGTTCTGGTTGCTGGTCTGGACTGCTATTTCAAGGTGACACGTATTTTCCCATTAGGGCTCTGCACACAAAGCTGCACGGACAGTGCCCCACAGCTCTGCTGTGCGCCTTAACACTCAGGCTCAACTTTGCCAGATTTTAGAGAAAAACACATTGTATCTAGTAAAAAGTGCTAATTCTACAATACATGAGAAAGAGCTTTTAACTCTTCAGAGTGACCATATGATACCTTAATTATAATTACCTAATAACACTTTTAAAATAAAGATCTGAATTCAATGCAGTAAATCTACTGAGAATACAATCGCCTGCCTTATGTCAACAAAGCTCATTACAGTTCATCATAAGTGGGCTTACCTGAGCACTTCTATTTCTTCTGCTGTGTACCTCTGTCCCTGTGCATCATATGACTGTGGACTCACAAACGGCGGAGGTTTTTCAGGGAAGGAATTAGCTCCTAATGGAAAATGTGTTTTCACTGGAGGTGGCTTTGGTTTAATATTTGACTTGACTTTGTAGAGTGGCTTTGTCAAAGGCTCACTCAATGCTTCTGCTCTGTAACACAGAGACAGGAAAACAATACTAGTTTTCTTTTCACGTTTAAGTTTTTTCCTTTTGAAAGTACTGGAGACTGAACCCAGAACCTCTGCACTGAGCTACACACTCCAGACCTTTTTTTATTTCACCCAGACTTGGCTTGAACTTGTAATCCTCTCGCCCTCACCTCCCAAGTGCTGGGATTACAGGTGTGCACCCTGCCCAGCTATACTTAAGTTTTTAGGAAACAAAGTTTACTTCAAGAACTAGTCAGCCTTATCCCTAACAGAAAATTAGTATACAAAATTCTTACACACAAGTCAAAATCTTGTTACTTTAGCTACTCCCAATAGTTCCTTTTTTTTTTTTTTTTTTTTTTGTATCAGGGATTGAACTCAGGACCTTGTGCTTGCCAGGGAAACACTCACTCTACTGAGCTATCTCCCTGGCCCCAATATGAATTTCACAGCATTTGATACATTTT